AAAAATTTACTAAACTACCCCGTGCCTCCCTGTCCGTGTCGCAGTTGTTGTAGAAATGGTGTCCCACATCAAGGTAGGTGCTACTGGCGTAGTAAAAGTGTGGAGTGCCCTCGGCACATTTCGATAGGGTTTGGGGTGCAGCGAATTGTTTGGTTATGTTTCCGTTAACAAGGTCATCCCAGGTTTTGTAGTATGCAAACTGTAAGTGGTTGTGGGGCTCCTGCTCCCAGGCCACGACAAACCCCCCGTCCTCTGCCACTGCTATTGTAGGTTGAGTTGCACTAGCATTTGCACCCTGGTGAAAATAATTTTCAGTTGTTATTTTTGGTGTTCACACACAAAATGTTGAAAAATGAAATTTTAAAATATTTTACTAGATAATCTCAAAACTAATAATTGGCATCCGGTATGTTTAGCTATGTAACTAGTATGCAATAATAGTGTATCTAACTTCAACTCAATTTTAACATTCAAAAGTATCCAGGCAGTCAGGCAACTATATAAATTAATTATTTGTATAATAATTTTCAGTTTAGAGATTATATTTAGTTTTCATATAACGAGATTTATATTTATAAATAGTTAGTTATTTTGTAAATATTAATTATGGTTAACTTATACAATGTTAATTTATAAAATTAAAATAATCAATAAAGTAAATAGTCTATGTGTAAAATTATCTAGGTACTTGTATTCCTGGTCCGGCTATGGCCCTAATCCACGTCCATTTGCCCAACACGTTGTCAGCGGTAGCCATATGTGAGTGGGCGCTGCCGTTCTCATAGGAATGATAGACCCCTATAAACCCCTTCACCTCCGGGTTGGCTATGATTTTGATGCAATCCATGGACCGACCCTTACTGTCCTTTGCCCCGTAAACATGTCCGGATGAATCTGCCACGTTTTCAATCATGGATTTTATTGCCGACCTAGTTGCATTTAAGGCATCATCATCAGCGGCAACCATATTCGCCATGAGCATTATCGAAATTGTTAATAATAATTTTACCATGTCTATAATAATTATTAGCGACAAACTTATATGATTTATTTATTAGTAACGTTAAATATTATTGTAAAACTGATTTATTTTTTTAAAACTACACACTTATTAAATAATTTTTGTAATAGGTTAGTAGATGTATTAAATATAGATAAATATAGATAAATAAACAGGATAAACCATGTATTTAACAACAGGTGGATGGTGAGATTATTTGTATTAAAATTACCATTTTTAATAATCTTAAACTAATCATAAAATTCTTATTATTTTGCACTAATTTTCTATAAACATCCTAGTTAAGTAATATTTAATAAATTAGTTTAATTTTGTTATTAATAGTAAATTTTATATTAAATCTTATATTGCGATTATTTTTTGGATTACTATTAATTCTGATACAATAACTATCATTAAATGTGCAAAATAAATCATAACCTGGTTATTAATTTTTCCTGTTATATTTATCGTAGTACGTAACTTTATAAATAAAATTA